GTGGGAAGGGTATTAAGATCTCCAAACAGCTGGGATCGGCTCCATTATGAACACGGCATAAAGGGGACTTTTATCCACCAAAAGTTCATTCTTGCGGGCCCCCGGGCGCTGCGCTCCCGCGTCCGTCTGGCCGCTTCCAGAGCTTTCTCCAACTGGAATGCAATAGAAACCTGCAGAGCCAGAATTTTGGGGTTTTAGAATTTCTCAGCAAAATTAACATTTTCGGCGTTATAAAGTTTTACGAGCTTTAGTAGGAACCAAATAATGTTTGTTTGAAGGTTTAAGAACGTCATTGATTGGCTGAGAGTTCTATTGTTTAGGCTTTACGGTTTTAAAAGTTTTTTAAAACCGGGGGGAGAATGATATCGGGGAGATGACTGGATTTATTTCGTGACTTGCAGCTCCTCAGCTGATGTGGGACGAGCTGCCTGTATCGTGGGGCTTGTGAATGCTGGGAGTTTTTTGCACTGTATTTAGAAAGTGAGGAATTCGCCCCCCTCTGTTATAGCAGTTTAGCTGGCAGGTTGCCTGTACAGCGCTGCGGTATATGTCAGAGCTATATACATGTATAATAATATTGTGTGACTGTGGGGGGGGAGGGGACATTAGAGTGTGAGCTCCTCTGTACAGAGACTGATGTGACTGTGGGGGGGGAGGGGACATTAGAGTGTGAGCTCCTCTGTACAGAGACTGATGTGACTGTGGGGGGGGAGGGGACATTAGAGTGTGAGCTCCTCTGTACAGAGACTGATGTGACTGTGGGGGGGGAGGGGACATTAGAGTGTGAGCTCCTCTGTACAGAGACTGATGTGACTGTGGGGGGGGAGGGGACATTAGAGTGTGAGCTCCTCTGTACAGAGACTGATGTGACTGTGGGGGGGGAGGGGACATTAGAGTGTGAGCTCCTCTGTACAGAGACTGATGTGACTGTGGGGGGGGAGGGGACATTAGAGTGTGAGCTCCTCTGTACAGAGACTGATGTGACTGTGGGGGGGGAGGGGACATTAGAGTGTGAGCTCCTCTGTACAGAGACTGATGTGACTGTGGGGGGGGAGGGGACATTAGAGTGTGAGCTCCTCTGTACAGAGACTGATGTGACTGTGGGGGGGGAGGGGACATTAGAGTGTGAGCTCCTCTGTACAGAGACTGATGTGACTGTGGGGGGGGAGGGGACATTAGAGTGTGAGCTCCTCTGTACAGAGACTGATGTGACTGTGGGGGGGGAGGGGACATTAGAGTGTGAGCTCCTCTGTACAGAGACTGATGTGACTGTGGGGGGGGAGGGGACATTAGAGTGTGAGCTCCTCTGTACAGAGACTGATGTGACTGTGGGGGGGGAGGGGACATTAGAGTGTGAGCTCCTCTGTACAGAGACTGATGTGACTGTGGGGGGGGAGGGGACATTAGAGTGTGAGCTCCTCTGTACAGAGACTGATGTGACTGTGGGGGGGGAGGGGACATTAGAGTGTGAGCTCCTCTGTACAGAGACTGATGTGACTGTGGGGGGGGAGGGGACATTAGAGTGTGAGCTCCTCTGTACAGAGACTGATGTGACTGTGGGGGGGGAGGGGACATTAGAGTGTGAGCTCCTCTGTACAGAGACTGATGTGACTGTGGGGGGGGAGGGGACATTAGAGTGTGAGCTCCTCTGTACAGAGACTGATGTGACTGTGGGGGGGGAGGGGACATTAGAGTGTGAGCTCCTCTGTACAGAGACTGATGTGACTGTGGGGGGGGAGGGGACATTAGAGTGTGAGCTCCTCTGTACAGAGACTGATGTGACTGTGGGGGGGGAGGGGACATTAGAGTGTGAGCTCCTCTGTACAGAGACTGATGTGACTGTGGGGGGGGAGGGGACATTAGAGTGTGAGCTCCTCTGTACAGAGACTGATGTGACTGTGGGGGGGGAGGGGACATTAGAGTGTGAGCTCCTCTGTACAGAGACTGATGTGACTGTGGGGGGGGAGGGGACATTAGAGTGTGAGCTCCTCTGTACAGAGACTGATGTGACTGTGGGGGGGGAGGGGACATTAGAGTGTGAGCTCCTCTGTACAGAGACTGATGTGACTGTGGGGGGGGAGGGGACATTAGAGTGTGAGCTCCTCTGTACAGAGACTGATGTGACTGTGGGGGGGGAGGGGACATTAGAGTGTGAGCTCCTCTGTACAGAGACTGATGTGACTGTGGGGGGGGAGGGGACATTAGAGTGTGAGCTCCTCTGTACAGAGACTGATGTGACTGTGGGGGGGGAGGGGACATTAGAGTGTGAGCTCCTCTGTACAGAGACTGATGTGACTGTGGGGGGGGAGGGGACATTAGAGTGTGAGCTCCTCTGTACAGAGACTGATGTGACTGTGGGGGGGGAGGGGACATTAGAGTGTGAGCTCCTCTGTACAGAGACTGATGTGACTGTGGGGGGGGAGGGGACATTAGAGTGTGAGCTCCTCTGTACAGAGACTGATGTGACTGTGGGGGGGGAGGGGACATTAGAGTGTGAGCTCCTCTGTACAGAGACTGATGTGACTGTGGGGGGGGAGGGGACATTAGAGTGTGAGCTCCTCTGTACAGAGACTGATGTGACTGTGGGGGGGGAGGGGACATTAGAGTGTGAGCTCCTCTGTACAGAGACTGATGTGACTGTGGGGGGGGAGGGGACATTAGAGTGTGAGCTCCTCTGTACAGAGACTGATGTGACTGTGGGGGAGGGGACATTAGAGTGTCAGCTCCTCTGAGCGGTTGTGTCCCCTCAGTAAATAGTGTGGGACGTCTCGCTCACCGTTGTCATCTTTGTGTTTTCCTCTTCAGGTGATCGCGCCGGGTGAGGTGGAGCGCGCTGTGGATGAGATCGCAATACTGCGCTACGGTATATGGAATCAACATGTTACAGAGGATTGCAGAAGTCTGCGCGGTGTGCTTCTGGTTACTGTCAGCCGTCTGCTGTCTGGATCAGCCCTGTGAGTGTCTCTTCATATACTGCGGTCATCATGTCATCAGCAAATGGCAACGTAGAAGTCTGGCACAGTGTAGCAGGGACACATAGTGTAGCTATCTGATACAATGTAGAAGTCTGGCACAGTGTAGCAGGGACACGCAGTATAGCTACAATGTAAAATCCTTTTTTTTCCCTTCAAGTCCTCTCCTTAAATTGTTCTCGCATTGCTGGGTTTGGAAAAGCAAGGGGGGGGGGCTACCCAATGGGTGCTGAGCTTGGACGCAGAGGTGATTGACACTGAAGCCGACGGGCAGGGAGGAGGTTAATGTATGGCTGGAGCTGTGCCAGGCTGTGCCCGGGGAGCCGGCTGCCAGGCTTGTTGATGTTGGATAGGTGTGAACATCAGAGCTTTGCAGGTGATGCGTGACGTGTCACGTACAATACTCTCCTCTCCTGCTCAAAACACATATGCTGATCTCCCCCCTGAGCGCAGGAGGTGTCCCAGATCATGGAGGACTGCGTGCATGAGACATTGAGGGTTTACCTTAAAGCTGAACTGCTCTCTCCTTGTGCAGGGTGACTGGTCCTGTGTCCGCCCCCTCCTGTAATAAAGACCGGTCACTGCTGCTCTCTGTCCTTGTGCAGGGTGACCGGTCCTGTCTCCGCCCCCTCTTGTAATAAAGACTGCTCACTGCTGCTCTCTTCTTGTGCAGGGTGACTGGTCCTGTCTCCGCCCCCTCTTGTAATAAAGACTGCTCACTGCTGCTCTCTCTCTCTACTTGTGCAGGGTGACTGGTCCTGCCTCCGCCCCCTCCTGTAATAAACACCGGTCACTGCTGCTCTCTCGCCTTGTGCAGGGTGACTGGTCTTGTCTCCGCCCCCTCCTGTAATAAACACCGGTCACTGCTGCTCTCTCGCCTTGTGCAGGGTGACTGGTCTTGTCTCCGCCCCCTCCTGTAATAAACACCGGTCACTGCTGCTCTCTCGCCTTGTGCAGGGTGACTGGTCTTGCCTCCGCCCCCCTCCTGTAACAGTGCAGGAATCCATTGTGCCTGGTCCACAGTCTGGTCCAATAAGGATGACTTTATTGGGATGGAGCAGACGGGCCCGGGGATGGCAGTCACAGGGGGGCTCCGGAGGACAGGGGGGAGGGAGGGGGGTGGTGTGTTACATTGCCAGGAACATGTGGAAGACATTGCGGGTTTATCCGCAGCCATAAACATTGGCGGATTACTCGTGAAATCTGTTGTATTAATTGCTCGTTTACATCCCGGGGGCTCCATCAGACACATAAGTGATTGGGGTGGAGTGGCCCTTGTAGGAAAGTTTTTGGAATGTCCCTCTCCTGACTCTCTCTCTGTGTCTCTCCGCAGCTCGGGCCCCCCAGTTCCTGGCCCAGCCTCTCTCCACCTTCCAGAAGTATGGCGGCTCCGTAACGCTCAGCTGCGCGGTGGACCCGGCCGACGCCGTGATCTTCTGGCGACTGAACGGCGTGCAGCTGGGAGGCGTCCCGGGGGTCCTGGTGTCCGGAGGGAGCCTGGTCATCGCAAGCCTGAACAACGACACCGCCGGGAGGTACCAGTGCATCGCCCAGACCGCGGCCGGAGCCATGGCCAGTGTGCCGGCCATCGTAGCCTTGGCCAGTGAGTACCTGTATAAGATCAAAGGATCCGTTCAAGTCTTCCTCTCACCCAAACTTTGTTCTTCCAAAAATGGGGGTGTGAAAGGGTTGGGACCCCTGTTAGGGTTTCATTGCTGTGGTCAGGAGGACATTAAAAAAAAATCCAGGATAAATAATTAGAGGAAAGCAAACACGTTTCAGGGTTCAGACACTCCCCCTCCATCAGAGCTTGAGTTATATGTGACCTCAGTGGATGGACTCTATAAGAGTTGTCTTAGGATGCCCTCCCAGTGGACATGAGCTCAGGTTAGAAGAGGGGAGAATCCCACGAAGGAAAATAATGGGAGAAGGGGGCTTCTTAAATAATTTGAGGTATAAGAGAGCCAACGCGTTTCGGGGGTTTAGTTACTCTGCCTTCATCAGGGCTTGAGTTATATGTGACCCCAGTGGATGGACTCTATAGGATTGTGAGAAGGGTTGTCTTAGGATGCCCTCACAGTGGACACGAGCTCAGGATAAAAAGAAGGGGGGCTCCCACAGGTTTAGACACTTCCACCTTCATCAGGGCTTGAGTTATATGTAACCTCAGTGGGTGGACTCTATAGGATTGTGGTCATAGTTGTCTTAGGATGCCCTCAGGAGCTTAGGATAAAAGTGGGTGGGATCCCACGGAAGAAGAAAATCAGAGAAGACCAGGAACCTTCCAGAGAAAGAGCTTCATGGCACGTGCGGATCCCTTATTGCCCCCTCTTCCTTCGAAGTGGATACAAAGTAACGCCTTCTATGTTTTCCAACATGCAATGGCGGCTCGGTCAGATCCTTCAGTCTCTTGGTGGATCGTCTTTCTGTGACAGTCTCATTGTCACAGGTCGGCTAGAACTATGAGGATGAGTGAAAAGCACCCCCCCTCCCCCCCTCATAGTTCTCCTTTAAAGCCTCCTTGATTTGTCTCATGCTCGGGGTCTTCAAGTTTTTTGTTTTGTTTTCCCCCATGGGATCCTTCCCTCTTTTATCCTCAGATTATGTCTACTTTAGGGCCTTGGTTCTCAACTGGTGGGTCGTGACCCCGTGTTTAGTGGGTCGCAGCTTGCCTACCTCAGCCTCCCCCTTTTGCCGCACTGCCAGTTCTTGAGCCAAGCAGCCATTCAAAATATGCAGCCCGGTGCCGAGTGTCAGCTTGAGGTGGGATGAGGTGGGGCTATGGCCGTGAGGGAGCTCCATCCATACATGCAGCTTCCTTACTTGTCCTGTAGAGGTCCCTGGACCGGAGTGATGTCACATTCTGGCTCCCGGCACCTCTACAGGGCACACAAGGGAGCTGGGCAAGCAATACACGAATGGATGGAGCTCTATCACAGTACAGCAGCCCACACTGGACCCTAGGGTGAGGATCCCCTCCAGTTCTGGTAAGGTATGGAGACTGGGCGACCTGTTGAATGGCATCCCGAACGCACCTCCCACCCACAGTTCGATCGCCCGCACGGAACTGCAATGCCGTGCATTCCATTACATGTGTGACTTAATGACCGAGGACAAATGTGCGTCCTGAGGTTACACAGGTTGAGAACTAGGGATGCACCGATACCGATACTAGTACCGATATCGGTGCCGGTTCCGAGTATTTGGGCTGAGTACTCGTACTCTCCCAAATGCTCAGATGCCTAGCACGAGTACTTCCGGTATCAGGAAGCCGGGCAGCGCGTCATTACACGCCGCCCGGTTTCCCGATTGGCCGGGAAGCGGCTCCATGCTCTCTCGTCACTTGTGAAATGGGAGCATAGGGCCGACTTCCCGGCCAATCAGGAAGCCGGGCAGCTCGTCATTACACGCTGCCCGGCTTCTTGATTGGTCGGGAAGCTGGCAAGTCCGGAAGCTGGCTTCATGCTCCCTAGTCCTCGTGAGGTAAGGTTACCTTACCTTAGTATGACCAGCCTGTCACCCCCGGGGCCTCTCCAGCGAGACCGCAGCCTTCCTCCGGTACCGAGCCGGAGCCGTCTGGCTGGCCAATCAGAAGGCCGTGGGCGCCATGTAACGACGTGACGCCCTGCTTTCTGATTGGCCGGGAGGCCGGCTCCATGCTCCCTCGTCATGAGAGGAAGAGGGAGCATGAAGCCACCTGGCTTCCTGAATGGGACTTCCCTTACTCGACAATTGGTATCGGCGAGTACCGAAAAAATAATTATCGTTACTCGTACTCGGTACCAAAATACCGGTATCGGTGCATCCCTAGTGAGAACCATTGCTTTAGGGGAACCCTAAATCCAGCAAGGTTCCCCACAATCCCACCAGCCCTGATGAAGGAGGAGTGTCTAATCCCCTGGACCAGGTCCTCTGGGGTCCTTCTCTCTGTTATCCTGAGCTCGTGTCCACTTTAAGGGCACCCTAAATCCAGCAAGATTCATCACAATCCGGCCCCCTTTGGGGTCAGGAGTGGCCCCCCCAGGAATGTGGACCTGTCCGGGGTTTTGGGATGGCTCAGATTCTAACCAGGAGCGCAGCTGCGGGACCCTCTATGTGCAACAACAATGCTTGACAAAGGTG